ATGAAAAGCAAGACGATTCAACCTGCCTCATTTCTGTCTGCCGTTCATTTACTTTCCAGCTCTTTGAAACGTTGCGGCAAAATGTCGAGGAAACCACCGAGTTTTTTAAATGGACTAACAATGAGGTGGAGTTATTGCTGCGAGTAACACAAAAGTACAAGGTTGCAAAAGCGAGTGAGAATTAAAGAATTTGAAGAAAAGCTATGTGGAGCATGTACAGACTGATATTAATCTTTAATAGGGCTGTCAAAATTCAGAGCAAACAAAACAACTGCTGTATAATGCCCTCCGCTATCTTAGTTTAATTGGTCACTTGACTGCATCACATGACTAAAATGTGTCATTGTTTTCAAAAGGTCTCAGTTTTTGCTGTCCACACTGAGACCGTCTCAGTGTGGACGGAAGGCCAAAATGGAGAGAAAAAGATGCATTTTCAAACGAAAACGTATTAGTGTGGACATGGCCTAACTTGAAAGTCATTCACACACTCTGTAATTAAGTCATAAAAGATCCCATCAGCCAACGTGTGAATCCTTTCAAGTCTTTTCAAAAGCCGAAGGAAAAATCCAAAGTGGCATAGACTTTTGTCCTGACAACCAGAGGAATTTTTTAATTGCCTCTTTAAAAAAGCTTTGTGATTAAAGTTTTTAATTTGGCACCTGATTTTCATCTAGTAGTTAATTCAGTTTTAAAAGGAAATATGTTTATATGTATATTTTTGTTTAGTTTAATTAAACAAAAGCTGATGACTTATTAATCCTCGCTTACTCCTTACTTTCCATCATACACAGTTCTCGCTGTATACAGTTCCCTGTGTGGGTTTAGTTTGAGAAGACAAGTTAAATCAACTAGCAACCTTAAATATGACAAACTGAGCAACGTTAGCTTTCCATTTTCACCATACAAAGTTAACGAAGCAAATTTTTTGGCATTGTGTGAAAAGCTGAAGTCATGCTGATACATGACGTTGTAAACCACGTGAACATGTGACACATGCCCGTTCACAAGTGTGCAGGCGTGCTGAGCAGCTGATGCTGCAGGCGTCAGCTGTTCTGCATTAAATCATCTTTACTCACCGGTGGGGGAGGTGCTGTCAGCGGGGCCTCGATGATGTGGATGATCCCGTTTATGGCAGGAATGTCCCACTCCAGCAGCAACCTCTCATTCACTAGTTTAGAGCTCTGAGGGATCGAAAATCAACCACAATAAACATGGCAGTACATTTTAAGTTCATTTGCTTAGCTATAAGAATGTCAATGCTTTTGAGATGATGCATACAAAAAAAACTTCCATCTGTGGTGGTGGAGGTGGTGTGTATGTGTGTGTGTGCGTGTGTCTCACATGAAGACCTTGTTGTAGCATGTGGCATGGTGGAATAATTGAGACAGTGTGTGTGTGTGTGTGTGTGTGTGTGGGGGGGGTATTTATATATCATATGGAATACTTTATTAATCCCTGAGGAAATTATGTAAAGCAAACTGCTTAAGCAAACTAACACACCATCTACAAGGCCTGCATTGTAGAATGTCTCCAGTCTTCAATGAGCAGGGCAGTGACAGCTAAAGTGATGGTGGAGAAGACAGCCTTTATATAAGTGTCTGATATGCTAATAATCTCTACTCCAGACTGTGATGAACCACCAGTATACTAGCAGGCTACCTTCTAGTTAAGCTTCCACCCAGAGGGAAATTAACAAGCTGGTTAGGTACTGGACGAGATGAACTCACTATGCAATGAGTTCAAGTAATTCACCACATTTTGCAATTAAGAAGTAATTTGTAATGTTAGTTTGTGAAAAAGGTAAGTTGTTTAAGTACCTTTGTGTCACCAAAAATAAAACACACCATGTTCCCTCAGTGTGTTGACTTTATCTCATTGCATAGTGAACTTTGTAGCATCTCCTCCATCACATAAGCAGCAGCAGCAAGCTTGTTCATTCCAGTGAGAGTAAGAATGAACAAGCACAGTGAGAGGTTTAGCCAAAAGCAGCTGTGGTTACGGAGCTATAAAATCAGCATTATTCTCTACCACAGCACGTCTGGCACACCACCAGAGTTTGTGGAGCTGTGCTTACTTGGCCGCACTTCAAAATGCAAAGCAAAGCTTTGAAAGACATTTATTATCACTCCCAACACAAAATAACACGAACACTTCCGCTTCCACAGCCAGCCTCCATCTCGCTGGCTGACCTGAGTGAACATGAACCTCTGGATACGATCCACAAGTGCAGTTTGGTTTTTAGCTGTCAGAAGGAGACAAAAACACTCCAACTGTGTTTGTGACTTTCTTGTTTGTGATTTTTTTTCTTGTGTCAAAACAAAAGGAACAGGGATATGTACAATATAGCAAATGTGCAAAATAAATACAAAGGTGTTTCATTTTTGTAACTTACAGGTACTCTCATCAGCTCTTTCTCTCAGTAACTGTATCTGATTACTTTTCAACAATAGTGATGCTATTTTTTCATATTTTGTATTGGATTTTCACCATGTTGATATTAAACCAGTGTTAATTTAGTTTATCAATCATTTTTGTCAGCAAAATTATATTTTGTCAACTAAAACTGGAGGAACTCTGTGTGTGTGTGTCCTCTGACCTCATTGTTGCCCTGAGTAACAGTCAGGTTGAACCCGAGCCTCGATGTGATGACCGTCTGATGATTCAGCTCCTTAAATGGCCATCTGCTCTGATTGGCTGAGATGTGATACTCCAGGTCTCTTCCAGACAAAGACTATACACAAACAAAACAGAAACTGAGTTCACTGACAGCTGTGTCACAACTCACTGCCATTTAATACATTTAATAAGAAACAATTAAAAGTTGATTCTCTCAACCATTTGTACTAATATGAATATGGCAACAAATGCTTTTAATTTCCTTATGGTTTTAACTTTAAACATGGTGAATAAAACAAATGCTTTCAAATACTACTCTCAAAGTTTCACAAAGTTGCTTATATTTGACAGCCCTAATTAATCTAAGAAATGATAAGCATTTACTGAAGCGTTGTGTTATTTATTTCACCTGATTTGGAGCAAAGCCGGTGTTATGAGGGACAAACAGCGTGACTTCAGCCTTCCTGTGAGAAAGAAACTTGACAAGTTGACTGCCCTCCGAGGACGTGCCGCTGTACTCCAACAACATCTGCAAAGAGAAAGGACAGTGACTTTTTTCAATTTA